GAAAATAGTCAGTGCTGTAGGTTAGGCATTGCGCAGAGTCCCAGTCAATGTTGTGGTTGGTAAGTCGATGGTGTTCAGCAATGTGATTGCTGACATCACCTTTCCTCGTCGCCCGTCTGTGTTCAGTCAGTCTTGTTGTGAGGTTTCTGCCAGTCTCACCGATGTAGGAGGCTTGGCAGTCGGAACAATTGATCTTATAAATCGTTCCCTGTCTGTTCCTCGGTTCGTCTTTGTCTTTAACGTTGGTTAGTAACTGACGTAGTGTGGTGATGGGTTTGTGGGCGACGCGGATATTGAAGGGTAGTAAGATGCGCGAGATGTTTTCAGACATGCCTTTTATGTACGGTATGGTTGCTGTAGTCGTAGGGAACACCTCCATTTATGTCCACTGACTTGATTAATGTTTTTAGCTATATTTTGAAGGTAAGATGTCGCTCGATCACGGAGAAAATCCAAAAACTTAAACGCTACGTGACTGTCGAAACAAGCCCGCGGCGCCATTTTGGATTTATGTGTGCAGGGTCATTCTCACGTGACCTCGATAAAATCGAACAATAACCTATCCGACTGAAGTTTGCCGCGTTTCCTAACCAGTCTCCTCTACTAACTATGATGGCAGGCTTTAGAAGATGTGCAACTGAAAGATTTTGTCGAGAGACTTGAGGCCAAGCTCGATCACGAACTGCTGGAACATGGCGCTAATATCAGTGTTGGAGAGCGGCAGTTAATTTGCTTGACTCGTGTGCTGCTACAGCGGAGTAAAATCGTCGTCTTGGACGAGCCAACTGCGTATGTAGACCCTGACACAAAGCAGACGATATGAAATGTAGTGCGGGATAAACTGAAGGAGTCCACTGTCATCACCATAGCTCACCGTTTGAACACGATAAGGGACTCTCAGATGATTTGGTCTCAATAGATGGAAAAGTTGAAGGATTTGAAAAATTTGATTCAGTAATGAAGACTGATCCAGATGCAGCCTAAGGTGAACTGGGATCTCGAATTTCAGGTCGGACTTAATCCTGCAGGGCTCTGTATCTACACTTGATGGAAAAGAAAACAATTATAAGCTCATTACTCGGTTTTACATTCTACATACTGCAAAGCATAATTGAATTCTCCCGCATTTTGACGCCTCTGTGATCTATTACCGGACAGACCCACGGCAATAGACCACTTTCACAAATGGCTGCCGGATTAATATTCTTTTGTTTAAATTCAAATGAGCCCTTCTGGCCTCGCTTGAGATAATGTATTATTTTGAATTTTGTACTGGAGAACGAGGCCAGAAGGGCTAATTTAAATTTAAACAAAAGAAAATTAATCCGGCCGCGATTTATGAAAGTGGTCTATATTAAATCTATTAAAAAAGGAAAATTCTGTTCACGGTGACGTCAAATCTTCTCTGACGAGCAGAAAGAATGAGAGGAGATACAAGCCTTTGAAATTGCTGCATAACTGAGTTAGTAATCTCCACGTAAGATAAATAACTCTGCTACTGCCTCACCCAATCATTATTACCTCAGAAAAAAACCCTTGCCCACCCTCCCATACACACACACACACACACACACACGCACACACACACGCACACACACACACACATACTCAGCTACCCTCGGTAGAGCGAGCTTTGTGTGTCACATTCATTTTTCCTGACAACTGAGCACGCTCGAATATTTCTTCGGATAGTAATTTTAGCATTCCTTTCGAGTGTCAAGTTGAACGCCAACCGAAACATGTTTGTTAGTTTACTCTTCCCATTTCTCTTGCGAGCTCGTCACGCAAAGCTCTTACAGAAGTCAGCGACGAAAACTGCATTTTAATGAGCTGTTTCGTGAATAGATTATGTGACTCGATTCCGTCAAGCGTGGACATTAGTTGTATGCAATGTAACCACACCTTTTACTCTGTTGCCCTGCAAAAACAAAGCTCTCAAAAAAAAAAAACCCGTTTTCAGTGACTAATAAAATTTTTTCGCAGTTGTTAGTTTGGTAACTTATGGTTGAACCGGCAATAAAGCAAATAATAAACTGATTGTCAGAGAAAACCCTTCCTTTGTTAGTTGCTTCTCAGATTGCAATTATAAGAAGCACCTCTGTATTTTTGGCGCTTTTCTGAGAAAAAGATTAGCGTTGTGTCGAGCGCTGCGAATAAAATAAGAGAGTTAATGGGATGTTCTCGGGCATAATTATGTCTTGGGCCCGGTTGAGCTGGGGTTAGTTTTGCCCAAGCCGCAAGGCGAGGGTTGAAAACACATTTATGCCCAAGAACATAAATTCTATTATCATTGTAGGCTAAAATATACTTTAGCCCCCAAAATTCGCCATAATGCCTGCTAAGTGATAATAGCGAAGAATAATTATAAGGATAAAAAAATTGAAATATTTTGAAAGCCATTAAAACCATTAGAGTGACATGAGATCTTTACTCTTATATGTGGCTGTCAATGGTTTTTTCTTCTTTACATATTGTGTGGTTATAAGACACATAAACATTTTATCCACAATTTCAAGCTCCAGAACAGGACAGAAAGGAGAAACTAGCAGGAAAAACTGGCGGGAAGAATAATCATGTGAAACTTAACCATTCAAATGCAAATATTACAAAACAGTGCTATTGCTAGTCTTTAAACACGTGCCATTTGAAGATCTATGTCCATAAGGTTTGGTGTACAGAAGAGTCTGCAAAGTTTCCTTGCTCTTAGTAAGTTTATTTTCATAACCATTTTATGCATTCGAGAATAATAGACATGCAGAAATCAAAGACAAAAAGGGATTAATCAGCGCGCCGAAAATTCCGGTCATCAAAGTCAACTTATCAAGCACCTTGTCTTGCGTTTTTGTTCATCCATGGCACTTAACTAATCACAGCTTCAGGGGAAGTATTACGAAAGGTTAGGGGGAAGTATTATCGTGCCCAAGAGAAACAGCAATACTTCAGATTAAAGTGAAAAGCTCAAGCCACTTATGTCACTTTTTCTCCGGCTTCAAAAAACGATAGCACTGAAAAGTACGAACAGAAGGTGGTTTCACGCAGCAGTTCGTAAGAAACTTTGACTGGGAAGATTACAGGCCACATAGCCCTACATGCAGACTGTATACATACATACTTCATTGGTACCTTCCCATAGGCGCTATTCTTGAGCAATACATTAACGTAAAGTATATTGTGTTCAACAGGAAAGACAACTCTTGAAAAATTCTAATACGACACTGGGAACCCCATAAGCTCTAATTTAGCGATTAAGATAAAAAGTCGGCCTTTATAATCCATTACATATTTTTGCTCGCGCACGATTGGTCTAAACACATCACGTGATCGAATATGGCCCACTTAAAACTTGCGAATATCTGAGGATATATTCCAAGGGGGCATTCCCCAATTTTCAAGCATTACGTCTACGACGATAAAAGCGTTCGTTTCAAATTTAATTCAAGACGAGGGAGCGTTTAGTTCGTAGCAAAGAACGCTGAAAACTAAACACGCATAGAAAATGAAACAAACTGTTCGTCAACATTCTAGCCGCGCGTTGCAAAAATATTTGATAAATAATAAATACATTAGTCTCCATCTGGTGCGAAAATATACTTGTTTATTTGTCCGTGGACTTTATCTGTTATACATTGTTACGAATAGAAATTTGCTACTCCATCGGAAGAGTGTGTGTGCCACAATTAAAATTAAAGTCGTATACACCAATCAAAGAGATTAATTAGCGCGCTGAACGTTCTGGGTCACCGTTAAGGTCCTTGGTTAAGGACGCTTCCCTCTTGAAGTGCACCCCTGCGCTAGGTGGGGGAAGGGGGGGACAGTGATACCTATGTTATGCCGGAGAAATCTTAGGAAATGCGAAGGGTGAATTTTTATCGCTTTTTTTTCTCGGCAAGCAGACTTTACTGAAATTCACTACAGGAAGGTTGTTCGACCTGATATCCAATGATGTTAAACGAATGGAAGAAGAGACAGTCAAATTATTTTCTTGGACACTTTTTGCATTAGTTAAGTTTTCTGGAACAATATTTATCTACAATCTGATTGGTTGGCACGCTGTTACGGGTGTATTCTCCCGTGTATTCTCCTTCCATGCTTTGCGGTCTTGTTCCCCACCAATACTAAGCTGCACTTGCGCACAGCTACAGTGTCCGATCAGCGAATCTCTCTAATGAATCAAGTAGTTTCCGGGATCCGCACGGTCAAAAGGCATACGTGGAAGGACGAATATCGGCTAAAAATAAAAGATATACGTGGGTAAAGTAAATGATCTTCTTCATTCGAGACAATTTAGAGTAAGCTGCATCAATTCAAAATGCCTTTTTTTAAATAACGAATATATGTCCCATGTAATAAGCGGAGGAGGGGTCAGCTAAAAAACTATGATATTTGGTACAGAATGTCATTGGGTCAAACTCGCCTTTACTTGTCTCATGTTTTTCATACGTGGTCATGGGATCGTGGGAGACAAGCACTTCCATAATGAAGTGGATGATGGGAATTATTATCGAAGGAAGTACGCCTCTCTTGCGCTTTCCTAATTAACATTAAAGAATAGAGAGTCCATTGAGAACGAGTAAGTTCACGAATATCCCAACATAAAATGAAATGAACTTTTATCTTCAGAGGTGAAATCCGCGGAAATATTTATCTATTGGATGATTCACTAAGTGCTGTCGATTTTAAAGTTGGCCAACACATCTTTAACAAGTGTATCAAAGAACTGTTGGGTGACAAAATTGTTCTGTTAACCTCTCATCAGCAACAGCACATGGAAAATGCTGATGAAGTGATTGTGTCCATTACGAAGGGCGTGTCCTGGACAAGGGACGCTTTACTGAGCTGCACGGAAAAGGCGTAATCAGTTTAACTGTTGACCTGCTCTATAAAGAAGCTCTGAACGACAAAGCAGAATCATCTAAAAGTTTTCCAGGGAGAATATAGAGAAAAACGATGATGATGAAAAATGCCAGAAAAAGAATCTTCTGCCCTATGAATCGAGGAGTATGGAGATAGCAAAGGAGGATCGTCCAATCGGAGTTGTGACATCCAAGCTGTATTGGGACTACTTCAGAAGTGGAGCACATCCTTTGATGATAATTGGAATGGTTGGTTTAAGTCTCATTACTCAAGGTAAGCCAGTTCTCATAATGGCTGAGTCATTGGCTCAAAGTCAGGTTACAAAAGGGAAACAGAGCCATCTTGTTTCTATTTCGCGCAGAGCATTCGACAACAACTTTCATTTTGAACCAATAGTAAGCAGGAGGAAGAGAGACCTGGGAACTAAGTTTCCCCAAAACCTTGCTAATAGCCTGCCAAACAGGCGTAGTTTCGTTGAGAGCGGGAACAAGTGCTCGAGGAGCTGATGTCTCGCCCCTTGCTTTGCCTTGCGTTTGCCTCCACTAGTCACTTAGATCAAGGGCAGTTTTTCTTGCAGTTTATAAAATGAATACTTCCTCTGTCCTTACACTGTTATCACTACAGTTCACCGTTTGAACACGATAATAGACTGCCACAAGATTTTGGTCTTGAAAGATGGAAAAGTTGAAGGATTGGACAAATTTGATTCATTTGTGAACAATGAGTGGGATGCGGCTTAAGGTGAAAGAGCTGGATTGTCCAATCAGATCTGATTTTAAAGGGCTCCAATTCTATACTTTGTGGAAAAAAAGAAACATTTGTTGCTCGTTGCTCGGTTTTGGCCCCTATAAACTCTTCAGTTTCTTAGAATCTTTCTCGCCGTCATGCCTCAGGGTGTCATGAAACACCGTGAGCGTTGCGTGACACCCCAGAGAAAGTCTTCATCCATAGGCCGATTGTCCAATCAGATCTGATTTTAAAGAGCTCCAATTCTATACTTTCTGGAAAAAAATAAACATTTGTTGCTCGTTGCTCGGTTTTGGCCCCTATTTACTCTTAAGTTTCTTAGAATCTTTCTCGCCGTCATGCCTCAGGGTGTCACGAAACACCGGGAGCGTTGCGTGACATCCCTGAGAAAGTCTTCATCCATAGGCCGATTGTCCAATCAGATCTGATTTTAAAGGGCTCCAATTCTATACTTTGTGGAAAAAAATAAACATTTGCTGCTCGTTGCTCGGTTTTGGCCCCTGTAAACTCTTAAGTTTCTTAGAATCTTTCTCGCTGTCATGCCTCAGAGTGTCACGAAACACCGGGAGCGTTGCGTGACATCCCAGAGAAAGTCTTCATCCATAGGCAAATTTCAATTGAGAAAAAGTACAGTGAAACAACCTTTCTACCACAGTCCAAGCATTTTGTTCTGTCCAATGCCTTTACGGTTTCTTTGGTCAAGGTCTTCACGTCTTGACATCGTGTGAGCAGAATGGAAGTAAGTTGGTGTTTATTCAAAGATGTTTCGAGCTTCACCGATGTTGCCACTATATCTACAGCCCTTTGAAACAATTTCAACTGAAAATTTCAAGTTCCAAGGTCGCTACATGATTCACATTTATTAGTTTCAACGGAGTTGACGTTGATGCCCTTTGATATATCAGGTGATAATCGTTTAAAAAAAGAGAGAGAAAAGGTAGGATAATCTACAATCAGCATATCAAGTCACTTAAAAATGTAACATGAGGATCTTATGACTATTATAAACCAAGACGACTCGTGAACTAAGAGACTTAAAGGTGTCATACGATGTCTTCCGACTATTGTGCAATTTAAATTGCGCTCAACTTTGCTGGAATATTTCTGAATTCTTTCATCAAGTTTCATTATGATTAACACAGATTCAAGGACAAGCCTTACAGCGTTTACTTTTCTCGTTTTCATGTCAGCGGCTGCATGTCTCTCAAGCCCCGACGCTAACAAGTGCTCCAGAGCACAAGACTGCAACGCGGGAAACGGTTCATATGAATGCTGCTCTGGTTCTTGCGTCCAAGGAAGCAGTTGCCTGGGAGAAAACTGTGAAATCAACCGAGATTGCTCTACCGCTGAAATTTGCTGTGATACGAAATGCGTCGATAGTCTGGATTGCAAAGGACAAACTTGCTCTTTTGAAAATGACTGCCAGACGGATGAAGTGTGTTGTTACGGATCGTGTAGAGAAAAGGTTCTGTGTAGCGATTATACCCTCATAATTCTCATTTGTCCTGTTGCTATTATCGCCTTTGTGTCCATTTCCTCTTGCGTCTTTAGAAGAATATGTTTCAAGACTTCCATTTCCATGAAACGATATCCATTTTCACATGGGTTTTCATCAGAGAGCACTTCATCGCGTTCGCTTATCAGCCTTCCGCGTCCGCTGAGGAGGACACATTTATTCTATACAACTCCAAGGCGAGTAAATTTTCCTGAGGACTTTAAGCACAAGGTGGCCAAGATTTGTGAAGGTCCAAAGCCCGGAAAAACAACCCAGTATGGTTCGTTTCGTGAAATATTCTAACTCTGAATTAATACATTTATTGAAAGTGTGTGTACTATACAAATGGTAAAATTCTACATGTTGCTGTTCCTTATTTTAAAGCGTGTGCGCTTGGCTTTTATCTCAATAATCCTTTTATACTTTTCAGTTCGTACACATGGCGATTGTTAGGAATGGAGATTATATTTTTAACGAACCCCGACGGTTTTAAAACGAACTTTTTTGCCAGGAAAGAAAAACTTTTCTCGTGATTGATCTATACTGGCTGTAAATATTTTTCTGAGAAAAGAATGAAATGAAACTGTATTTTCTTGGATCTTCAAGGTAAACAAAGTAGCCACTTCACTGACGCATTGGACAGTGTTTCTATTTGAAGATGTATAAAAGTTATCAAGATTTTCTAGTAAAACTTTAGACGAAAATGGTGTCTAAGTAACTGCTATAACCATGTATTAAAAATATTGAGTCAAATTGAGATAAAGGTACAAATATTTATGCAATAACCCCTTCCAGTAACGAGTTTTTTTTTAAATAGACGTGACTCTTCAAACTTTTGAGTGTCACGCAGCATGCGTGACACTGAGGACCGCGAAGCACCTGCTTACCTTGTGATATCACGAGTTACAATGACTAAGCTCGGGGTGAAGAAACAGTTCAACGCAGGTGATTACATGCAAGGACTTCAAGGAGTCATTTAAGCCTTTGACCACTGACAGTGACTAACATCTAATTTCCTCTTACAATATCACCCCTGAATCACACATTAAGGTCAGGAGAATAAAGGAAATGATCAACAACTGAAGAAGCTCTTGATTGCTCGACCAATTCTCCTTATCAGCACCTTGGGAAATGTATAGAGAACAGTATGGAGAATATGCATACTGAATGAAGGCTTTCGATTTGATTTTACGTGCCATTTATCTGCTCTACTGGAAAGACACCCAGTGCACCTATTAGATGATTTGAAAGGAAATTGGCTACGAAAACCTGCGTTTGTCAGCCGACTCTGTGAGCAAAATGAAAATCAAGAAAAAAGTATATCCTCTCAGAAAATGGCAGACCGGATAATCACTAAAGGATTAAGATGAAGACTGATAAGGAAGGAAACGGTCGCGACTTCAAAGCTTGCACCGCTGACATGAATCAGTGTTCTGCGAGAATTATATTTTTTCGGATAAGGAATTTTCCTTGATCTAAAACTTGACCTAACTTTGCTGCACATAAGCAAGGAAGGCAACAAAATTTTCATATCATTTTACTCTTGAAGTTCACTGAGAGGGGAAACATGGCACATAATTCGCGTAAGGTTATTTGTGTAACCTTGAGAGGTTACCTTTGTGGAAAACTCGACCGGTGTAACGTAAATAGAGTCGGAGCTGAATTCGAACGCATGTATAATGCCAAAGTCCAAGTTTGATCCAGCAGACGTAAATACAATCAACGTATGACTACTATGCCGATAGCTTGAAATTATGATGGTAAAGCTTTGACTTCGTGGTTCGAACTACAAACGAAATAGGAAGACAACCACCTAAGTATAATGAGCTACAAGAACGTAACGCTAGAAACGACTATGAAGAAAACTAAAAGCCCAAAATAAATGGACAATCTGACGAAATTAAGATAAAATAAACCTAAAATAAACCTAAAATAAATGTACAGGAACTTACTTTGGTCTAGCTCCTAGAGGAGACAATAGCATGCACAGTAGCAAGAAAACTTTTGGTAGAGAGCCGTAGCTCGTAGCCGATCGCAACTATCTCACTGAATACACTCACGTAAACCTGAAACCTAAAACCTGACACGTGTAGGAAAACGGAAAGAGTCCCTACGGAGCGAGCTAAATTACTTGATGTATTGACTAGTGAACGAAACATCATACAAAACTAGGTTCAATTTTACTGTAGGTACTGTTGGCCGACATGGCGACCGACATGTCGACCGACAGTCGGTCGACAGTCGGCCGACACTTGGTCGATAGTCGGTCAACAGGTCGGTCGGTAGTCAGTCGATAGTCGGAAGATAGTCGGTCGACATGCCGGTCGATATGTCGACCGACTGTCGACCGACAGATGGAGTGTCGCGTCTCGGTGGAATATCGGTCAAGTGTCGGTGGAATATCGGTCAAGTGTCAGTGGTCTATCGGCCGAGTGTCGGTAGTCTATCAGTCAAGTGTCTGAACTTTATCGGTAAATATAGTTTGAACGTCGCTCGTGTAGTAGTGTATTGTTGCAGTGTCGGAATTGAAAAATTGGATTTGAAGAAAAATTTGATTCGAAGGCATAAACTTTCAGGTATATGATTACGTGTTAGTGAAGTATCGGTGAAGCATAGGCCAAGTGTCGACCGAGTGTCGGCCAAGTGTCGGTCAAATATCGACCGATTGTCTACCGATATGTCGCCTGACTATCGACCGACGTATATCTGTCGACATATCGACCGACATGTCGACCGACTATTTTCCCACTATCGACCGACTATCGACCCACTATCGACCGACTGTCGACCGACATGTCGGTCGCCATGTCGGCCGACACTACTTATAGTAACAGTGATCCTAAAACTATCAGCATGTACCATTGTCACGTAACGAGTAAACGAAATATACAAAAACGCGTTTAAACCTGACAATTTTAGCGTCCGAATTCGACGGATTCAATTTTAAAGCGACATGACTTGAGTGGGGATTGTTTATTGGGCTGTTTGTAAATTTTACCATTTTTGAAGGGGCTTTTACCTTGGAGATGGCTTTCCTGCCAAAAACGAAAATCCAACTTCCAGGACAATAAAAAAATTCTCTGCTAAACAAATACATTCCATATTGACAGTAAGGGAACACAAACGACGTCAAAATGTCGTAAGAACAAAAACGTGGCACAAGAGGCGCAGCAAGTGTCGCTGGTATTCTTACCGCATTTTGACATCTTTGTGATCCATTACTGTACATACACAAGGCAACATGAAATAGCTAAAATTATGGTGACGTCATCTTTGCGTCTGTCCTCCAACAGATCACCAGTGAGAACCGATCAAAAATTCGTGGATCTAAACGATCGGTAGTGAAATGGGAGAATTTCTTATCAGATGACCAGAGTTGAAGATTGTATTCGGCCATTCAATGAAAAGATCGCAACCTCTCCAGAATAGCGCCCCTATTTACGGCCTAATCAACGCCAATTTGTTTATTGACTGTACGTACCCAACGCAACATGGAATAGCTAAAATTATGGTGACGTCATCTTTGCGCCTGTCCTCCAACAGATCACCAGTGAAAACCGATCAAAAACTCGTGGATAATTAAGCTCATGATACAAATTTACAAGGAACTAAACGATGGGTAGTGAAATGGGACAATTTCTTACCAGATGACAACAGTTTAAGATTGTAATCGGCCATTGAATGAAAAGATCGCAACCCCTCCAGAATAGCGCCCCTATTCATGGCCTAATCAACGTCAATTTGTTTGGAGGTAAATGACAGCCCGCGGTTTTTCCAGGTCATAAAATAGTAACCCTACAAGCTAGATAGTCGTATCACATGAGTGTTCTGCTGTTTTCATACTGTCTCGCTTGACATATGAGTTATGACTCGCAAACATCAGTTCACGTGGAGTCTTAGTTTACCGAAAATAGAACAGCTTTTCGCGCCATAATCTTCCTGGAACTGAAAAACCTGAAAATGTTTTGACAATTAGTTTTGTCTAAACTAAAAAATTTATTCGCAATCATTAGAAAAAGGAAACAAAGAGAAATCTTAACACGCCGCACCTCAAAAAGCTTCACAAACGTGCACTTATGTCGGCCAAATGTCTTATGCGACCCTCGAAATTTATCTTCAGTAAACCTCTAATTAAATTCCACTCAGTGGAAATTTGTTTAGTTGTCGTTCCGAACTGGATTCATTTTGCTCCACCACAGTAAAACCATTCAGCAGCGCAGGTTAATTTTCCTTCATAGCCACCGGTTGGGCTCGTGGGGGACGTGGAATGGACATTACAAGGAACCTTAAAGACCGCTAAAGAGGATAACAGTCAAGGTTTTCCTCTTTTCGTGACACCATTACTACTGCTGTATGCTTTATACGTTGGTGAGAGATCATAGTCGAGCTAAAAATTCATAATTTGTTCTGCAGGGAGACGCGGTTAAAAGAAACGTTGAAGTTGGCTTACTCTTGTGGTCGTTTTTAATGCTTTTATAATGCATACTCGGGTCTTTGCACCAGCATTGTGTGCGGATCTTTTCACCGACTAATCGTGTAGACAAGTTGTTAGGACCTTTTGCGTATGGCTTTCGTTGATTTCTTGCAAACAGGACAGATAAATAGGGCTGCTAAGACACAGACACGAGTGAAAAAATTAAATTAATAAAATAAGCTTGTGCGGCGCATGTGAACCTTGGTGACACCCGTGAGAGGACATTGCAACACTGCAATAAAGACGACTCTATCTTATCGCATTTAAAACTAACAGTGTCGTTCCTTTTGACCTGATAACATTCGGGCTAATCTTCATTCAAACATCATTGCAAAGCCCCAACTCCTTGCAAAAAGAGAAATATGAACCCCATAGGCAGCACAAGGTACGCCTTGTTTTTAGCACAGGTTTGAAGATAAGACTGAAAGTCAGTGTGCTTTTCGTCTAACATTTCTTTAAGTCTTAGCAGTTCCGCAAGCCCTTCAATAAGAAGTCCTTTCGATGTTTTAGTGATACAGTTTTTACACGTAGTTATTCGCGAGTGGTCCACATTGCGTGTCTTTTACCCACTATCAGAGGGCGAACTGAGCAATTATCATCACAAACGTTCCCAAAACATCGGATAAAATTGCACGTTTGTTTTGAAAATGGATTCTCTTGTTTTGACATTTTGTCACGAACTGGATCTACTTTAAAATCTCCGCGCCTCGGCACATTTCACGGAATACTGGTTTAACGAGCGGAGTGCAGGTTACTGACCACCAGCTCAATGGAGAGGAAATTTATATGTGGATTTTGGCTATTGCTTATCACAGCTGTGATAGTTTCCTTAGGCTTCCTCGCAGATGGCGTAGCACCTCAGCACAGAGGTCGCACAAACTGCTCCTTATCCACTCCACGCAGCACTCGTCAGCCTGGTAATTCCTGCTTTTGGAAGGTCGCATTAGCCCAGTGTGGTTGCATATATACTAAATTGGACATGCGCCTCTGTGCAGTATGGAAACTGTCAAACAAGACCTCCATAAAGGTATTCAACCATTTCGTGAGGGGACAGACTAATCGCCCTGAAGCGGCGCCCCTAACGGGAAGTTGCGCAGACTACACAAACACTATAAATAACTTGTATGGTAGTGGAAACAGTGGACTTAGCTACCTCACAAGCAAAGAGGCCAAGGTCTACGGTATCGACATGAGCTTCTGTGAAGACATGTCTCAGAAAAACAGCTACGGTTGCAATTACACTCTTGTATCGGCCACCAACCTCCACAACAACTCTGCCGAAATGATTTTCATGTACGTCGGTTCCTTCAAAAACACCTCCCACCACATGAAAATCGGTAAACACTATCAGATGAGCGCGGAAAAATGCCGGGGGCATGGGCACGCTTCTGTAACAGAAGATGATTCGCTCTTCATTTCAACCGAGGAGCAGCAAATAGCTATTACTATGACCACTACACAAGAAACGTGCGATGGAAACCAGCAACCCAGTTCTGGTATCATCTTGTTTGCCTCGCCAAGACTGGAACACGAGTTTCTCCTCTTCTGCATGATTATCTATCTCAATTTTTTTCCATGAAGGGGTCCATTTATCTATGACGACACTTTAATTCCACACCATAGTCACCTACTAGAAGTCTATCACTGTTAAACGGTCTCCTGCAGGTCAGGTATTTTTGGCAGATGTAATTGATTACAATGTAACTGTCATCGGAGACCTTTAATCCGATATTCCAATCAGGATGTTTTGTGCATAACATACACAATTCCTTCAGCTTAGAGTTCAGATTTCTTTTAATCGACTCCCATAGCAAGCAATCGTAGTTTCCGTATTTAAAGTATCCAATCTGAACTTTTTGCTTCGTCTCTCCAAGAGTGAGAAGAATGTGCAAATGCATAACATCACAAGAAGAACAACTGACCTTTTAACTACCATGAGCGACCAAGAAAGAAGTTCTCTTTACAATATCAATATAACATCAAGCAGACAGGCGTTGAGAATGAAAAAAAAATACATCAATTAGACAATAAGGATTTCATCCAATACCAAATTCTGCAAACTAAAGTAATAACTNATATCAACAAAGTTGAAATGGTAAATTGGCCACCGTAACGATTACAAAAGCTGACGTTTCGAGCGTTAGCCCTTCGTCGGAGCGAGTAGAGGAATTGTGGGTTGTGTGTGCTTTTAAAGGCAGAAAATGGAGCTACGTTATTGGTGGGAACATGGCAACGAGAAAAACACGAATAAATTAGTGGAATGAAAAGCGTTCGTTGATCCCTGTGGGATTTAGACTGCCGGTTTGAAAGATGAGCTTTTGTTCAAGATTTTTACGGCTTTCCGTGCTACCTAAGTGCTTGATTTGCATTACCCCAAATGTAATGAGATGTTATGAAATGACTTTTACCTTGTCCTCTCCTCCAGATACCAACTTTCTCAAGGCCTTTCCTAGCATGGAAGCTTTAAAAACATCAATCAATCAATCAATAAACAAATCGATCAAAATATTTGCAGGGTTCGTCCCTTTTTTCCAGAACAGATTTCAAGGACTTTTCCAAGACTTTAAATGATTTTTCCAGGACTCCAAATTTCACCTCAAAACCTTTCATTCCCAAGATTTCAAAATTAATTGTCCTTACGGTCTACAAACATTTATTACAACGTCGATTCTGAAAACTTTACTGCTTCATTTAAGCAGATTTCCAGGACTTTCCAGGACATGTAGTCTTTTTCCAGGACTTTTCAGGACTTTTCAGTCCTGGAAAATGTCAAAATAAAATCCCAGGACTTTCCAGGTTTTCAGGACCCATACGAACCCTGTATTTGGCATACAACCAAGAAGCCAGTCACTCAGGCACCCAGTAACACTTTAAACCCTAACATCAGTATCCATATTCTCCAAACCCTTTCCTATACATTTCCTTTGGTACTGACCGGGAGAATTCGTTTCCCAATGAAAGCTTCTTGGTTTGTTAATCATTTCCTTGGTACTCATGATCTTAATGAATGATTCAGGAGTATTAAGGTAAAGAGAAATTAGCTGTTGGTCACTCTTAGGGTTTGAAGGGTTCTGCTATTCTGTTTGGTAGATAGGATGCATGGTGTAGTTTAAACTGTTTTTTTGTTTCATTTGTTTCCAAGAAGTTGCAGTCAAACGTGGACAGACAATTCCACCTTGGAAGAAGGAATAGGTGTCTAAAGGCTTTGCAACCGTGAAGAGGTTAGCAGAGGTTTAACTGTAATTTTGTAGACTTATAATTTTGATTATAACATAACCAAAGTAAAGAGCGCGCTCTGATTGGTCAATTTAGGGTCCACCATTTGCCCGTGGGTGTACGCTGCTGACGTGAGCAAATGGAAAGACTATTTTTCCGCGCGCGTTTGTTTTTTCTGGTCACGTAAAATATGTTAAATAAAAGGGAACTCTTTAGCTACAATGTATCAATGTTATGTTATAAAACAAATGGTAAACACCACAGCGTACATTATTGAGTTATGGATGCACTTGGGAGGTTTGCTAAGCATTCAAGCGGCTATCGCCTCGAGCGACTCTTACGCTTCTTTCGTGCTTATCAACCTCCCGCGTGCATCCATAACTCAATAATGTACGCTGTGGTGTTTACCATTTGTTAATTTAAGTCAAGGATGCTCTCACCTGTTGAGGTTCCATTACCACTGTCTGGTTCAGGCTCAAAGACCGGTTCAAAAATTCCAAACTCATTCACTTTGCCAAGTGATAGTCTGGAAACAAAATATAGAATTGCTACACTTTAATAACCTTTTTACAAGGCAAGTTTAGTGATAAGCCATTTTTGGATAGAAATTATGCAGCTTGCAGTGGGCAATTTAACTCTAGCTGAAGTTTTTTTTTTTTTTTTTCCCCTAGATACATACAATAGATGCTGTTTTTCACAACTAAAAACTTATCGGAGGAAAAAGCCCCAACCAGAGCGGAATTTAAGTCAAAAATGACAAACAGACTTTTTCCAGGGACCTACCCAGCATAGGGTCTTTGCCAAAGAGCATCTGGGTCTTCTGTAAGATCAGAGTCTGAGCCAAATGTTGCCTTCACTAAATGACTATTTTCATCTGTGTGGGTACCAGGTCTCCTAACATCATCTTCACTGCCAACAGAGGCAGAAAGGGTCCGGGAAGATTGACTCTCACTAACAGAATTTAGCAGCTCCGTGAGATACTTGTAGTAGATGGGACTTTTAAGGAAACTTGGGAAAAAGACCTGAAATTCAACCCAAAATATAATGTTAAACATACATCTACAGGAATAACACATTAAACAATGAAACAATTTTTGACTTAAAAAGTGTGAAAAATTGAATCATATAATCTATGTAGCAACCTTTTGTATAATAAATGGAACATATTCAGAAGCAAAATCACTAATAAATCCCTTTAAAAGGAATTAAACCTTGAAGACCTTGTTTTCTGGGTTTCTAGAGGTAATTAAGATGGTAATCAAAATGGTAATTAAGAGGTAATCAAAATGGAAGAGGTAAGAGGTAATCAAAATGGAACAAAGATGGTTATGGATGGAGAAGATTAATATGATAAATATTTGCAAACAAAAAACTTTCAAAATCTAGGATAAAAATATTTCATGATGGAAAAAGAATGACAAAGCTATTCTGACAAACCCATGGGATAATGAAATAATTTGGATATATCAACAAAGTTGAAATGATAAATTGGCCACCGTAACGATTACAAAAGCTGACGTTTAGAGCGTTAGCCCTTTGTGGGGATAATGAGATAATGAGTTGTGGCTAATCAACACTACATTTCTCTTTTCCAATAAGGAATGAAATTTTGACAAATTCTCACTAATTTCTTCTATATAATATGATTGAATAGAGTACCTCTTCAAGAAGGCAAAGGACATGTTCCATTGGATTTGTAAAGCATTCTGGTAGAGGGCCACCTTCGCGACAAATATTGTTCTCTGTTTCAATTCTTGTGACATCATCAAAACCAAGAGGTACAGTCGCTTGCATGGAAAAATACCTTCAGTGGTTTACAAATGCATCATAAATTTAGCATTGTGAAATGTCACAAAAGACAAAAAACATGGGTGATCTACTGTAAATGAGAGAAAATAAGTCCTGGCACGGGTGCATATGTAACCACTGGCAACTGTTAAACTGTGTGAAACTGGAGTAAATGGAGAAGAAGGATATAGCAGTATGTACACTTACTTGTCATATATGACCATAGCATCACTAAGAGCATGCTGTGCATCGTACTGGTTGATTTGGATTTGCGATTCTAAGTGAGACTGAAAATTATCTGCTGTTAACCAGAATTCCAGCATGTGTTGAGTTCCTTCCTGTTCTAGGTACTGAAAAGGAAACAAGGCATATAGGATAACTTGATCGCCTACTTTTTCTTTTTTGGCCTTCTTCCTTCAAATTTATTGACAACCCAAATCACATCACAACAACTTTACAAAGAGCACTGACCTCCATAAAGTAAAACATGGCATTTTGATTGTACAAAATGTCTGAAAGAAACACTTTTCCACCTGTCAAGACATCAATTTGATGCTTGCAATAAAAAGGACTTGCAAGAAAAGCAGGGAAGTACCTACAAAAAAAAAAAGCCAACAAGATCACAATTAATATCCCAATACTTTAGACAGTGAAAGAAAAAATGAGATGATGCATACTTCTTTATATCATCTTCTACTAAATGGTAAAATTGAAACAATGAAAGCAATGCTACAGAAATATTTGCACGCCAAGCCCAAATCACAATCCTAAATACTTCCAATTAGGCCTTAAAATACCACAATAGCACTTCTTAAGCAATATCAGCTATATTGGGATAAATGAATAAAGGCTGATAGTTTCTAAAGAAACTGTTAGGGGCTGCATCAGTGGGGTAATGAAATAATTTGGATATATCAACAAAGTTGAAATGGTAATCATTACGACGGCCAATTTACCATTTCAACTTTGTTGATATATCCAAATTATATTGTGATAAAACATGGTTGTATGAAGGACAACAAAAACAATAACTTACATTTTTTCCATAACATCAAATGCAAACTTCTGAGCTGGTTGAAAGGAATCTGAAGAAATCTTTCCATCTTCACTGCAGATATTAACTGTTTGTGTGCGATAAAATAGACTTACAACCTTTTCAGGAATTATAAATCCTATTTAAAAATCAGATTGAAAATAACAGTCACACAACTCACTTTCAATCTGTCTTCGAATTGACTCCTCCAGCCCTAATGGATTTGATGCTTCGAGTGAAATGTATTTGCTATAAATAGTAATAGCATCTATGACAATGCTCCGTGTCCTTCTCCGATGAAAACTATGTTCTCCATCCTCAAAGTCTGGTCTTAAATCAAACGTTACTTTAGATGACCGCACTCCCACTTTCATTTTTGTGTCACTTCTTTCGTAATCACCAGAACACTGATTGTTGACCAATGACTGATTATAACAATCTGGTTGATTGATACCATTTTCCAAACTATTATCAGCACTTGTCTGTCTCTCGTTATAACCAGAGGGAACATTACAACTGACGGCATTATTGCTGGTTTGTTTGTAACCAATCGTGTGTCCACAGTGATTACATACATCCTTCTTTGATGAGGAAAGGTTGATCAAATGTCCACAATTTTTGCAAAACAACAAAGTATCACCAGTATCCTTTGAAATGGAGTGAACAGCTGAGAATGGTTCTGGCTTACAACCAGTGAAGTCACCAAACTCATCATTGTCCACAGAGCACAACTGATCTGTTGTCTTATTTGAAGAGCAAGCACCCTCTACTGAATTTTGTAGAGTATATAAATGGGAAGAGTCTGATGTGCTGTCACTTGTATCTCCAACAGCATTGGCATTTTCCACTTTTGGAGACTTTAACCGTGAATTAATTCTCAAGCGATTTATAGTTGATAATCTGAATGTTTCCACAGTAAGCCAGAAGTTTAACAAATTTGTAGCACTTTGCTTTTGCATGTATTCCATAAAATAGGGTAAAACACTGTCATCCATGAGCACTTCCACCAGAGTCTTGGACAACTGTGACCTTCTTCGAAATGTTGCCACACACTGGAATTAAAAAATTGTAATATTCAGTAGTACACATCAGTTATACGGCATTAGTGCATACCCCTTATTAAATTTCCCAAATTATCCTTTATGTAATTCAGAAGCACAAAGCAATCTCTTCAAAAATTTTGGGATGAATTTTGTTTTTGTTCAACGTGATTCTTTGGAAAAAAAAAGTTATCAAGCAATTTTTTTTAAACTTTCTTTAAATGTTCCTTACCAATTATGTGTGTTTCAAAAGATACAATAAAAAAGATGGGTCACCATACTTGTTTAAGAGATATGGGCGAAACTTACCCCATTTTTGCCTGTACTGGCACTACTCACCCATGTCATTTCACCGGTTCACAATACCTTTTGGAGTACCTGGAAGCCAGGTGATTTTTATGCACAGTACAGGATAGGCACTGCAGTGCAATACTGAGGAATAACCTTAAGGACATGCTGTGCAAAGATATTCTTTACCAAGTGAATTCATTTTTTTTAAAAAGAGTCAAAAATTTTTGCTAGGCCAATTTAATCCAACCTGTGATGATTTCCACACAAAAAAAACCTATCAAGGCTGTACCCCTCCCTCCCCCAAAAAAAAGTTGTTTTAAGGAGGGAGATCCCCCTGCTCCAACCTCTGTGTGCACAAAAACTTCCAATATGTCAAAGTAAAACCAAATACAGTAGCAAAATATATTCCAGTAATACCTTTGCAGACTTCTTCTTTGACACACTTGCTAGCAACTTTCTGCATTCTTGAACTGCAGAGAGCACAAAGTAAAAACAATGTAGTCAACGAATTATTTTCATAGTATATGCTGAATGAAAACCTGGGCCAATTGTTAAATTAAACAAATACCACCACAAAATGCTAGCAGTTTGACTTTGGATGCCCCCACTTTGAATATTGGGGACCTTAACCAAACCCCAACAGCAGCTGCTGTGAGGACATGGCAAAACAAAAGATCTAATTGGATAGAACAATAGCTCAGCACATGCAATTTCAAACTTTGTACTTTTTTTTTGTCATCCTCTGCAAAACAATACACTGAAATCACGAAGATTTGCATGGTCTGACAAAACTAGATGGCAGATTATTAAAGTTTCCATTTGGAACTCGACACTGCACCTAAACGTTGTGCTTAAGTTGAGGTGTAGCACCATAAGATTCTTTTTTTAAGATAATTGGTGGAGCAATTGCTGAGGAAGCACAATTTAAAGGTTTTGTGTATAGAGTTAAATTACTGAGCTGTGTTCAATAAAAAAGGGTAGGTTAAAGGGAGATAAGAACAACTAAACTACTGTAAGTAACTATTTTTCTCTGCTACAGTTGCTAACACTCACTCCCAATCAAGTTATTTCTTCCATCTCTGGTTTCAACTGGCGTAACTGGCTGCTTATTTTTTCCTTTATTTTTTCCAGGTTTAGAGTTCTTCCCTTTTGCCTGCTTATCTGGAAAAGTAACAAAAAGATTATCCATAAAACTTAACCTCCCCACAAAAAGTAGTCTTAAAATAACCTGGATAGCCCTTACTCACACCTCTGAAATAACCATCAAAAAGAGCATTTAAACAAGTGCTTCAAGATTCAATATTGCCATGCATCTCTTCAGCAAATGATGTCAAATTGAAGTTAGAACAAAAAAGAGGTAAGAGAGGCATAATCGAGTGCTTCTTATGTTCTTACCACAAATGAAATCTTCTGTAATCTCTTTCTTAACAAAACCCTCTGTAACATATAACCTAATTGTTTTATATCATTAAAAAGCAAAATGTTGTTAATGAAAACCTCATCAATGCATCTGTCTTTCAACAGATCATGCTTAACAACCAATGAAAATGCATGCATAATTCGGCTTCTCGCACAGATTGAAATTTTAAGCAATTATCCCTGTTTCACATAATATTTACCAACAATTCACCATAATTATTGTCAGCGATTTAAGAAATAAGATTTTGGAATGAACACCACCATTGATTAGATGGAGCATCACAAACCCTAAAAATTCAATTGATACTACAGTTGTTAATCAAGTAAATTCCATATTAGCAACAAAAATTAGCTTTTTAGAGGACAGCAACACATCTAGGTCAAAATGTAGACTGCTACCCCACTCGTAGGTAAATAACAATTTTCATTGGAATTTCATTCTGTTGTGTTGACTTTTACATTGCATGATTTTTTCTTTCATTCCTTAAGAATATTCATCAGAAGTCCACTTTCATATCAGTATCGTCAAGAGTAATATACAAAATGTCTCAGAATTAATTCTTACTTAAAATATAAAAATACAGCATGTGTAAGGCATTTTGCGATAACGCAAAACACTAATGAAATGCAGATAAATTAAATGTATTTGTGCACACTTCTCAAAGATGTTTATTCCACGGAACGAATGCTTCAACGATGAATAAAATATCAGTAGAGGTTGAGAAAACATCTGAATGTTCAGAAAGCCACAGTGATCAATAGTTATAATAACTCTAAGCCCTCTGCACTGATTAATCGTGCATACATGTGCGCATACCCTGCCAACTTAACATGTACAGAACACGCTCTGAGTACACGCTATGTAAACAACCTCCTTTGCAAATGTAGTTCACACAGCCCCTCTGCTAATCATATTTACCGCAAGACGTGCATGTGTGAGAAAATATTGAAACGCAAGGAATTATATAATTTCATTGGCAAAGGCTTCCGTTTTGAACAGGGAACGTTAGCCGCGAAGTGGATGCTTACCTTTCGCTGAAGGTTTCCTTGAAAATCGCAGCATTCGAGCAACAAATTACCTTCTATATCCTTGGAAAAGTATATGCGACCTCCAGTGCTGAGTACAAGGCTGTCTCCACGAAAAAAAACATTCCGAAAAATGACGATTTCCGTGTAACTATCCCGAAGATACAGACATGTCTACTCCGAGCACTTCCAATATTGCATTACACCACGATCAACAGCTGACCACAGCTTCGGAATGCAGGCGTATGGAGGTGATGTGACGTATTAATGACGCATTACTGGAACGTAAAATAATATAGCAGAGGTCTGGGGGAGGCGGTTAGGTATAATAATAAGAAAGAAGTGACAGGTAGGGAAAAGGACTTCCTTTGTCGCGGAACAAAGGGCTGGTGGCGGGAACCTCTTTGATCTGAAATTAGCGCTACTCAGTGCGGAAATTCGTCCATTTCAGCTCTAATCAATCTTGATTGTTTTGTGATGAAAGTATGTACATGAGATGAACGTGTTTTGTGCGCGCTTTAAATGAATGAGATTGCTGTGCAGAAATTGTTATTGACAGGATATCAGTGACTGGGAACTGCTGACAACGATTGTTGTTCTCTAAATTTGCAAGTCTTGGCTGTCATCTGTTTTCAAATTTGAAGGTTGTATAGGTGAGGTAAGACTAAGCTGCTTTGTTTATTTTTAGAACTAGTAAGTGTTGCGATTCGAGTATTTTATAGTTAATGCCGTGTTGCGAGAGCCTTCGTGTATTGTCTTGGTCGTTTGCAGACACAGTCACTAAATTAAGATGTTTGGGAAGCGCTCAAGAGCTGATTTCTCGGTACGAAATTATGGTTGCTCGACACTTAATTAAATGTGTAACTTTTTGAGAGGCAAATTTAGCTTAAGTTGTTCTTAAGTTGCGTTCTTTCATGCGTGCAATGTGGTTCGCTTATAGTTTTCATGATTGTTACGTTCCAATGGCAACCAGACACTCGAGGGTAATCTACTTAAGTAAACAGCCACTTCCAACTGATTCTAGCTCTAAACTTGTCAATTTGTTTCTATGTTCGCAAAGTAATAATCAATGTGCTCTTTATGTCGCTCAGATTGTTTGTTCCATCAAAGACTTTTGATATTAATCGAGCGTGTCTAGATGACATCTGAGAAGAGTAACTTTCATTAGCACCTCTGGTGACTAATTTTATGGTATCTTTAAGAAATCTCTCATTTTCACCACATATAGCCCTGTGACCTCAATTTTAAAATGTGGTGAAATAATTTATCAAATCGCTAAATCATATTCATACATGGCTTTGTAGAAGTTACATCTTAACGAATGAATGAAGTTTCGGTGAAAAAAATGTAAAAAATTGCAATCTTTTGAATGACGCCCATTACTATAAAAATAGTTCAATTTCGTTTTTGCTCGAAGGTCCTTGTCTCTAAATTGCTTTTCACGCTTTGTCGGTTTGCTTGTGTTTGGAAGAAGATATGGTATTGTTCCCCTGCTTTTCCTGTTTTTGGTTTTTCTTGTTTTTTAATCAATATGCGCAGTTCGCACAAGGTCCATCAAAGTTATGAACATGATCAATTGATTACAACTTCACCTGTCGCGAATAAACTTTCGTAGACAATCGATCGTGTTTACCTTTGCTTTCGAAAGGATCACCAGAACCTTCTTGTACGACCGCTAACTTCTAAATTTACATAATATGGCGGTAATCTTCAGTGTAGATCCTGTTTACCATATGGTCCTTGGAAATCCACAGATTGGTACTGTACAAGAATTAATGTCTTACACTAATGTGTAATGTATGGAGATAAATTTATTAGAATCTACCAAAACATTGTTCTCCCCTTGGTACACAGTGATCATTCCCAAGCCAGCTAAGATAGCAATTTGCATCACGATTATGAGAGCATAAAACAGGTAAACGCTATGTGGACATTTAGAAAATTTAGTCCTTGTGAGTATTACACAGTTCAGTATTACTTAATTGCTAAATATCAGATGGCAATTGTAGTTCTAATTTTTTGGACTGTATGTTTTCTTTTCTTAAAGGTAGCAATGTCAGCAGTTTCAGTGTTGTGGACAGTTTTGTCCCTAGTTCTACTGTTCACTTGTACTTTGGCATTATTTTCCCCATTTTGGCATGAACACCTTCCTGATCCTTTGTCAACAAACAACAGTGAGTCCTTTATAGCATTTGGTCTTCTACGCTTCTGCTTCCAGGAGCAATTTGTGACTTTACAAGAGATAGATGCTTGGAGATCGTCCAAATATTGTTCATTTTATGAGGATATTTTCTCTGGAATCCCTTCTATTTACTGGAAGGGTGCCATTAGTACTTATGCATTTGCACTGGTTCTGTTATTGGGTGCACTATTCCTTGCACATGTAGCATGCTGCCAGAAATATGTTTGTGGAAAATCTGTCTTTGCCATTGCTGGAGTTATGCAGAGCATTGCAGGTAATTACCAGTTCTGCATGAAATTTGTTTCATACAGACTATGGTCAAACTTACTGTATTACTTGAATACTGCCACTTTTTTGGGTGCAGTCAGATGATCAGACCATCTTTTTCTTTTTGGTTGTAATTATTTTTTATCTTTTGTTTGGCTTTTATTGTCTTGTTATTGGATTGCACTCAAAAAGCCAAGTTTCACTATCTGTGATATTCTCTGTGGCTTCAGTTTTTCTATTATTTTTTAACAAGCAGTTTATTAGAACAAAATAGCAACTGTTTTTTACTTTGTTACTTTGCCTCACCATTTAACTTCGGTGGGGATCATAATTCTCCATCTTTTTTTTTTTCAGTTTCAAACCATTTCTTTTGTGAAATTTCAGTTTTTGAAATTTTGACTGGTTTTCCTGGTCTCTGATATCCCCCAATGTCCCCATCTTATGTGGGTGAGCAGACACCTCCCAAAGGCTGAAACTAGTTAGGTTATGAGCAAAAATTTACACAGTTCAAGCCAAAAGAAAACTGGCAATTTTGTAACCTCCACATCTAAGGAGGAAAATGTTCTGACATGTGCTTAATTTTTTTCATTGAGGAAGCATTTTACATATTAAGGCTATTTTTGTTATTATTAGTTCTGTATTTGAACCATTGAGGTGCTTGTCACCGATTTGGAATTGTACCCTGTTATAAATTACTTTTTGTCAAATCCAAAGCAGACTATGCTTGATAGAGATTTAAATTTATTATGTGTAGATCAGAATTTTAAGGAGAGGCAGGTGAGCACCAAAAATGTTTTGAATTAATGTCCCATAGTTCACCAAGATCTGAGTGTTTAAAAATGTATGGTAAGAAATAAAAGAAATACCATCATGTTTTTTTTTGTAGTGGCTCTTTTGGTAGTCAGTCTTCTGGTGTACCCTTTTGGTTTAAAATCCACCTATGTTCAGAAGCACTGTGGGACTTCGAGTGAGTTTTTTACATCCGGGACTTGTGACATTGCCTGGGGTTATGTGTTAGCTATTATAAGCACAGCACTGCTTTTTTTCTGTCCAATGATTGCATACCATCTGTCAGTTGTAAGACCAAAGTCAAAGGCAACAGTGGTGTAAGCAGTTTCACAGTGGTCTTCTATCAAGTTGATGAAGAACTTTCATGGAAAAAAAGACAAGACATATGAGTTGCAAGACCAGAAATATATTACTAAAACTTATAATAGTTTTTTTTTTCCAACTTTTATTGTCTGAAAGTCAGAGTAGTTAGCTCAGATCAGAAATTTAATATTAAACTCATCTATAAAATTATACTATAAAGTAAGCTTTGAAATAATTGGAACATAGTTAATAATGTGCATACATGGCTGACTCCATGAGTGGGTAAGGCAAAGGAATTCTGTGTTCTCATTGGCTACCAGAGACACTCAGCATTATGCGCTCTGATCCTGAAAATACAGAAACAGTTTGTGCTGTCATGCCTTGGTTAGACCCTAAATTATTTACATCTTTCCATTCCTGTGGCAGAGTTTTCTGTGTTTTGTTTTTGTTCTACAAGGCATCTTTTGATGGTACTGTAATTTCTTTACTATGAAACTCTTCGCCAGGTAAAGAAAGTTTGCATCTTGCAGGGGTTTCATTAATGTTTTCTGCAGGAGGGCAACTGGTTTTCACAGGCAGGCAAAACTCTTTGAACTGAACTTCTTTATAAGATCAACTTTCCTCCAGATGGTCAAATCAGGTGGGCAAAGCCATCGTCACAACCAGTCAATTTGCTTGATGCCTGGCCCTTAATGAAACCCCTGATCTTGTATCTTGTCGACCCAGACTAATTCTGTTAAATTTGAAAATAATGATTGTGCACTAGTGAATTTTCCCATGAAGTATGCAGATCTGATCTCTATATTTTACAGCTCTAAGAGTGTATAAAACGTGACATTTATCAAAACAAATCAAGGATCAAATATTTGGCAAAGTGTCAATGAAGAAGGAATAATTTGCTGTTGGAAACACAGGCAAGAAGTACCAGGTTTTGTGGGCTATTCCATATGTTGCTTTGGAAAATGGATCTTTTATCTCTCTTTGTACATGATGTATGCAAGGCAAATGTGGTATTCACAAGAGAATGTTACTCAGCAGAATTTCTGTATACCTGCATGACAAATTCTAAAAACAATATTTTTGGCTGATGACATATAGGTGTCATCATATATCCAGTGACTATGGCAAGTCATGCACCAGTAATTTGTGTACTGGATACTGTATGAAATGTTTTTACATGATGCATGTTAGGCGAATGTGATGTTCATTAGAGAATGTTACTCAGCAGAGTTTCTGTATACCTGCATGACAAATTTTGAAAGTGTAGTGCAATGATCTGGGTGAGTGTAGTCTTGAGAAGGACCTGTTGTTGGTGGTGGTGACACGACGTTTCAACAACATGTGCAGAAGTCATCATCAGACTGTTGTTGGTGGTGGTAAGAGGTCCTTTGACAAACTGCACACAGGTTGCCAAAATGTCAGTCACCCCCACCAAAAACAATCCATCTCAGGATTTTTTCTACACTCACCCGGGTTCAAACCGTTTACTGTATGACAAATTTTAGAAACAAAATTTTTTTGCTGATAATATGAGTTTTATCATATATCTAGTGACTATGGCAAATCATATACCTGTAATTTGCGTACTGAAGACAGTACAAAAATAATGTTTTGCCAGATGGTATTATGTAGAGTATGCTTTATTCAATACATTGAAATACATTTTGTACCTTGAATTTTACACATCAAGAGCAATATTTAGAATGGTATGATTATCAAAAGTCTAATAAATGAAAAATACATTTCTCCAGGCTCTCATGATTGTATTTCAAGGATAATGAAGGTAATATTAACTGAATACTTGGAAGTGGTTAGCTAGTGCTTTTCACCAACAAGAGAAAAAATAGCCTATCAAGAGTTTCATTTCCAACCATTTTTAGGTAAATTGACAAAAATAGACTACGGTATTCAATGGTTTTTCTGTGGTATATGCTTAAATAATTATTTACCTTATTCTTTACCAGGTTATAATGAAGATCAAGGGCCAACACAAGATGAAGGATTTCATATTTCCTTGAAGTTTCATTTTTTCTCAAATTCTTTCAAAGATGTAACTTTTCTCTGACTCAAGTGAAATACCTTGACTTTTTTCTGACCTTGAAGACATTTTCTCTCCCAGACTCTTTCCTGACCAATGGCAACCCATCAAGTGTGATTCAACTGACTTTTTGAAACTTGGAACTCTATGAAAAATTTTCATGGTACTTTGAGTGATAACTCAGAAAGAATATTAGTTTGCCAATATAGGTAAAAGGACATCATGAAAAGAAGTGTTGATGAGGCTAGTAAGAACATAGATGGCTGAAGATGGAAATGATTAAAACAGATTGAAAATATCAATAAACTTGAACAATTGAGGCCAAAATTTCCACACAACGTGAGAAAAGAAAAAGAAAATGACAATAACCCGGAGCAAGAAACTCAGCCTGGGAAAATAAACCCAGATGCCGATGGCAACACCACTTTTTTACCATACTAATTTCGCCCTTTCTAGTTCCTGGTTGTCCTCGTTCTCTGATCAATTTTGACCAGCTGCTTTCATCCCTCTCCTAAAGAGCAAGGTCGCGCAAAAGAATTGGAAATAATATTGAATTTAACGTTACAGTTTTACCCAAATAGACATACTGGGCGACCTTCCACTTCCTAGAAAGAAATTCTGTCTAAAAGCTAGTACAAAGGTATACGCGTAGCTCCGCGCGTGCCGACTGTGTTTTTTTTGGCGCGAAATTTGATGGAAGCGCTTCCACGTTCGTGTCTCTGAATTGAGTATTTGAAAGACAGAGTGGTAACGCTTTTTTAAATATCATCTCTGAGATAAATGATGTTCTTAAAAATGGTTAAAATTTCCTTTAATTCTTTAGAACTCTAAGCCAACGCGCGATGAACGATGCAAATTTAAAGGAAATGCAACCCACGGCTCTAGTTATTTGCATACTGATCTCACTTTTTACAACTTACCTTGTTCGCAAGGCCCATCAAAGCACTTCGGCCCTTACAACTGGGTAGTCTTGAAATGGCAGGGTATTCTGCGGTTAACCATTATAATGAAGCCAGATTAATGTGGCTTCTCGGTCCCTAAGCGAACTCACAGCTAATGAACGATTCGACTGCCCGTAAGGCCGAGGTGGTTAATTAGTAGGAAAATTTTGGCGGGGAACGCTAATAAGCTCTAGGAGTCTGGATACTTGATTTGTTCCAAAATGGCGGCCCGTTCAAGTGTGGAGGACTCACCCTTTGTGTTGCGGATTTCACACGACGAACTGATAGCATATGCTGACGAACTAGACAGAAGGAACGAAAAAACGAATTCTAGAAAGAAAAATCACACAAAAATTGAAGAAAAGGATTCCAAATCGAAGAAATTGGAAAAGAAAACTGACGTCAGCAGGAATGCTTTGCCATCAAAAGCCGAAGAGGGAGTAGAATTTGGGATAAAAGAAACCAAATTCAATCACGAAAAGGATAACGAAGGTACAAAGAAAGCAAAAAATGAAGGGAAGAAGGATAAAAGAAAATCTCCGTCGTCCAAATCTCGGCGCGATTCCTCCTCAAACGCAGAGGATGTTTATCTAAGGGAGAAACGTACCGTTACCAATAGCGACAGAACTGAATCGAATGAAACGGGAAAGGCTACAAGAAAGCGACGAGGAAGTGCAAGGACAGCAAAAAAGGTTGATGACAATGAAAAAGAAAGTGAAAAATGTGAACTTGATTTGAGAGCTCGTACCAGTACCGGTAGTGTTTTGAAGCTTTCTAAAGAGCCTTCTCATGCTGCAGAAGATTCACCTAAGGATGAAAAACCAAGAGGAATAATTAAGTTGCCTGAAGGTTTCCATATTAATAGTCACAATACAAGTGAAGAGGAAGGTTTTACATCTGATATACCTCCCTGTAAGAGAACTTCTAGCATGAATGGTGGCAGTAGTATTAGTAGTGGCCTTTATGGTCCTGTTCATGCAGAGAAATCAGTTTCTCCAAATAAGGAAGTTCGGTTTATTACAGTAGATGAAAAGACTACAGAACCTCAAAATGAAGTTAGTACAACCATAGGAAAATTTGGAGACAAACACTCCGAAGTAAACAATGTTTACAGTGGGGAATCTGTGAACATTCACAACACTTCAATAGAGAATGAGGTTGTTTACGAGACTAAAGCAGAGAAAACACTTAAGTCCATAAATCAACAGAAAGCTCAAAGACTGAAAAGAGCTGTGTCACCAAAAGAGGCACAGCTAAGTAATTTATTATCTCGTGGGACACTTGACAAGGCAGTTTTTGCAAAAATTTGTAGCCTTAGTAAAGAAATACAAGACACCTACAAAGGGATTATGATGCTTGACATTGGCCAGGTCACTCAGCTTGAGGTTGATCAAAACCTTTGGAAGAATGCATTTTATAAAGTTATTGAGACATTGAGGAAATATGGAAAACTCTTTTTGGGATATGAAGAAAAATCGGATGTCCTCTCTCCAGACGAAATAACTAACTGTTTGAAGGAATTCTTGAAAGATGCCGAGACATTTTATAAAAGTCTTCTTGAATTGTTGCAGAAAGAGCATGATTTCTCAATTCAGGAGATTGTCAATCAACCAAGGAAGGCAGAAAAACTTGGGAAAAATGTAAGTACCTCTGGTAATTTTTTCTCTTCGGGGGTCTAATTTTTTCTTTTAGCCTTTTTTAGCCGGGTGCTCATCTGCACAAAGGCAGGTTTTTAATGCTGTACTATTTAATACTGGTTTTTATTACTGTATTATTTAATGCTATGATCTAAACATTTGTTCCAGGCTAAACTTGCACTCATGAGCTCACAGCACATTTTGATTTCCCTTGGAGACATAGAAAGGTATCAAGTGCAATTTCAGCCCCATCCAAACTGGGCATCCATCCGATCATGGTATCTCAAGGCTAACAAACTGGCTCCAAAGAATGGTAAACCTTACAATCAACTTGGTGTTATTGCTGTGTCTGCCAATCGCAAGCTAGACTCTGTTTATTACTACATAAGGAGCCTAGCTGTGAGTAATCCAATTTTGACAGCAAGGGAAAAGCTGACAGCTATTTTTCATGATATACAAGTGAAAGTAAGTAAGCAATTCCACTGCATTTAAGGGTTTCATGAAACATCAAAATTCAGTGTGACTGACTTAATTGCTTGGGATAAAGGTATGCTTATCGTTAGCTAATAGGTGTGGTCCAGTTGAACCTCAATTCTCTAGACTTGAGGGGGACTGAACTGAAAAGTTCAGACAATGGAGGGTCCAGATAATTGAAAATATGAAATATCAATGGGTCAAAAATGAAACTGGATAACTAAAAGGAGAAGATAATGATTGGATCGATATTTATGCATGAATGAAAACATATTCTCAAATCATTGTGCATAAATTGTTAACATTTGCCAAAAGTGTTTCCAAAAATTTACAAGAGCTAACCAACAAAGATGGGACTAGAGGAGCAAGTCCAAATAATTGAAAAATTGTAATAATCAAGGTCCAGATAATCAAGGTTTGACTGTGGCAAGGTAGCCAAACACCACTTGATTGTAAAGAGTGTGGGTAATTTCTCTAAATTAGTTTGAATGGACAAAATCAATTTCACAATGATTAAATAGGATTTCATCGTCAATGCTTTTTTACTGAATATTTTTCATAACTGTGTAGGCAGACAGGATCCAAAGAACTGAGGATCAAAAGAAGGCTCTTTCAGAGCAGCAAATCCATCAGAAGAGAGAAAAGAGCCGATCCTCGTTTGGAGAAGCAGCCAAAGTTGTTGGGCTCAAATCAGATCACAAATCTTCTCATGGCAGGTTTGAAGTCCTTTAAAGTTAATCTCTCATTGTATTCTTTTATTCTCATAGAAGGTATAATTTGCTAATTCCAAAATTTTGTTTGTGTAGGCATGAGATGTGGATCTTCATGTGCCAAGGAAAATACAGGAAAGTAGTGGTCACAGACCATGGTAAAGTACAAGAAGTTAATTCAAGAGGAGAACCCATCCTGGAAGGACAGACTGAGGAGCACTCTTCAGACCCTGTGAAAGAATCACCAAAGATTTCTCTTCAAGAGGTATTATAATTTATAACATAGCAGTTTTAACAAGAGATCTTTTTACCTTCATTGTGATAAACTGTTTTATTTCTCTCCACAAGGTCAACAAGAAATTCATGCTCCACTATCTTTGTGCCCATGGTCTTTTGTACTCAAGAATTGGGTAAGATACTTGTAGTTTGTTTTTTAATCTTTTGACTCCTAAAAGTGACTAGCATGCAATTTCTTCCTATTATAATCACCCCAGAATCACCCAATGAGGTCATAAGAACAAAGGAAATTGTACCCAATTTAAGAATGATGCTTTTGATTGTTAAACAAATATTTCTCATCAGGGCCTAATTGGGAATTGTATAGAGAACAGTACGGAGAACGTACAAACTCATGCTACGGTGTTAAGAGTCAAGCTCAATGTGATTAAAGAATCTAACTCATGTGGGTGTTTGATACAAAGCAGTTAAGGATTGTGACCCTTATTACTTTCAGTTCAAGTAGGTTTTCCTCTTTACTTTCATCAGAGGTACTGACACTTTTTGGGTGGAGAGGGGAGGGGTGGTAGAGGAGGCTTTGTCTTGGTTAGTAAAGCAGTGAAGTTTTTTATCTCCATTTTTTTTCTCACAGTATGGAAAGGTTGCCTACATTACAGTACCAACTCTTGGGTGAGTTCCATACTTTGCTGGAGTACCCATCTTGTTCTGCAATAAGCAGATCTAACCTTCTGCAGATGATGGCCATCAACATGTTTGCTATTGAACACACTGCAAGCCAAGGTTAGTGTAGTAGTGTAGTTTTATTGTTGTTACTCAAAGCTGTTTCAGTAGGTGACTCATCATTAAGTGCCTGAAGGTTGTGGCTGTAGAATTTGAGGGTGCTAATCTCTTACAATGTACCTATTGTCTGAGTGAGAGTACTGGAACAAGAAAATATTTGATAATCTTCCATTACTGAGGGTAGCGCAAAATATCACAAGATAATTTACTAGAGGCCATCTTTTTCTAGCCCTGCTCATGCCATTATGTTTGACCCTCATACAGGGATTTTTGTCTATTGTCTTTCATCCAAAGAGTGCTAGGGGTAGCAGGGATCATATGATAATTTGCATGATTCTCCTGCTTCTTCTGTTCTTAATGAAAACCATGAAACTCTGGCAGTTATAGGTCATCAGGTTTTTAAGACTTAAGTCCATGCTAACCAAACTTTTGATTAAAAACAAAAATGTTTCTTTGGTATGTAGATGTATCAGAACCTTACGTCAGAGTTGGCACACCTCAAGACCAAGCTATGAATCTTGCTGTTGAGATGTTCATCATGTTGCTAAAGGCCTGCTGTGCCCTGCTTCTGAAAATAGACTTTGAAGCAAGAAACACCTATGAAGGCCTCAGTGACACCCTACATCAGTTCTTGCCCTCAGTCAAAGTGTTTGCAGATTGGGTGGTCTGTCATGTTGACCTGTGGCAGGTGTCCTCTATAAGGTAAGTTGTAGGTGTGAGGGCACCAACTGATCTGGGTTGGAAGATTGTTAAAGTTCACCCTTTTACTCCCAAGGCCTAGCTGTTGATTCTCTTTAATGTCTGTCATACATTTCTAAGGTTTTCCTTGAGAAATGGAGTTGCATGAGAATAACATAAAGTAACAGGAGATAGTTCTCCATTAATTATCCAACTGCACTAAGAAGAGTACTATTAGGGAATCAAATACAAATATCCCATAATATTTTGCTGTTACTTGGGCAGGTGGTTAGTTAGTACTTTAAAAAAAAAAAAAAAAAAGAACCTGTTTGACAGGTTGGTTTCATTTGCTTGAAATACTTCAAACTTAAGGTAGATAATATGTACTTCTTGACTTAGTGGGAAGACTGCACTGTTAAATATTTGGCTTGAAGTCCTGCTGTATTGACCATTAAAAAAGCTTCTACAATAAAAACTTTTTCTTTATTTTTGTGACTTAGAGCCAGAAACTCATAATTCATCAAAAAACATGACTTATTTTCTCATTTTTGTTCCCTGCTGTCACTCAATTTTTGGTGTGTAGTATGGCTGTGCACTTTTTCTTGTTGATTGTATTTTGACTCACCCTGTGGGCTCATCAAAAAACAGTTCAACTCATACAACACTCAGCAATACTACACACCTAAACTTTTCATGAGATATGGGTGATTAACAAATAGTTGAAGCCAATGAAAAATTACTGTAAGCTGAAGGTAGACTTTTCTATTGTGGCTGTAGAATTCTCCAAATTCTGACACTTAAGACATCTCTTCCAATTTTTAGCTCTGAGATTTTGGTGCTAAGTTGAACAATATTCCTTTGTTGATATTTTGCATTCTTTTCTTTGCCTTTCTGCTTGAAAATACAGTAATGTTCTAGGAGGAAACTCCTTTTTAATCACTTATTGGAGGTTAAGGTTAAATAAAAAATCTGATGGAAAGACTAAGAACCACTTAAAGGCAACTAGCAAATGGCCATACTTACACTTTTTCTTTTGGATTTGTTGGCTAGTCAGAGGACTAACTTTAAGTGCATCTCTGTTTTACTTTAGCACCCACAGAAGTCTTTGGGAATCAGTTAGTCAGTTCACAAATGCCATATCCTATGTGGATATTGATGACCTTCACGATGATGATGGTAAGAAACTAACCAAGCTTTGACAACTGTTGTCACTGATTTACTTATTAGGGACCTTAAGAAACCACGACGACGACGGCAACGAGGACGTGGAAAAACAAGAGATCTAATTGGCAGAACAATAGCTCAGCACTTGCATTTTGAAACTTTGTACATTTCTTAGCTGTCCTATGCAAAACAACAACGTGAAATCGCCAAAATTTGCGTCGTCTGTGAACCGAAACTGCGACGGCAAATTATTTTAATTTCCAAATGAATAAAGGCTGATAGTTAAAGAAACTGTTCGGCGCTGCATCGTTGGGGGTAACGAAATAATTTGAATGTATCAACAAAGTTGAAATGGTAAATTGGCCACCGTTATGGTTATAAAAGCTGACGTTTTGAGCATTAGCCCTTCGTCGAAGCAAAAGGGCTAACACTCGAAACGAAGGGCTAACGCTCGAAACATCAGCTTTTATAACTGTAACAGTGGCCAATTTACCATTTCAACTTTGTTGATATATTCAAATTATTTTAATTTCCATTTGGAACTCAACAGCTACTTTATACATCATGCTGAAGTTGAGCTGTGGCGCTCTATGAGACAGTAAGCTCCTGCAGCCATTTTTGAAATTCTAACTAAGAGTAGAAATTCATTTTTTAATCGAAGTCTTCCTTGGCGTCGCCGTTGTGGTTTCTTAAGGTCCCTATTATCAATCTGCTGAAAACTTCTGAGACATCAGGCCGGGTTGTTCGAAGCATGCAGAATGATATCAAGAGATAAATCTCTATCCAGTGGATGAGTTTTAACAAAATGTACTGCACTATCCAGTGAACGGGGATTTATCTAATTATTTATCCAACCTTCAAACAACCAGGCAAAAAGTAAATAAACAACCAACTGTCCAGTTAGAAATTTTCAACCTTGGTTTGAATTTTCAAATGAAATTTCCCTCTGGATGGCTGTAACACCTTAACACTTATCAACATTGACTTGCATATTGACTTTGAGTCTATGTGTGGTTGTTTGAGAAGCTGAGTCAATCTTTACCATTGATAGTGGTTATCTCTTTGTATCATGTGTTAGCCAATGAGATGGTAACGTTGTCCGAGGATGAATTTCTTGCTGGATTTAAGCCATTGAGCTCAGCAGTGAGACCATTGTGTAGAGTCCCAGATGCAAACAGTAAGGTAGAGTAAAACTGCAATAATCACTCAAGTGTTTGTTTTCCTGCGATTAACTACATACAAAAAGAAAAACAGACCTAAAGAACTTTCTAGGGTGAAATATAATTGTTGAAAGTTTAAACAATGTTAGGCACACTCTTATTTTTAGGGTAACCCACCCTCATTATTAGTGCAGCAAGACACAGATTTCTTCTCTTTCTCTTCTCCCCTCCCCATCCCAACCC